AGGCATCTGAAATTTGAAAATGAGAGGGGGCTCTGCCTAAATATGTTTGGTGGTCTGCTTTTTCTTGAAGACTTCTTTTATGACAGGGACAACAGCCATTAGAAGATTTCACAAACCATGGCAAGACTCAGAGGCATTAAAAAAAAGGGCAAAGTTATGTTTGCATACTGTGCCTAATAAGGCATAGGAATAAGTGGTAATATTCTAGAAAGAATATGAATTAAAATGGCAGGAATAGGAAAGTTTTCATAGTTAATGTTGTGTGCTTCATGATTCCCAGCAGTGAAGTATTATTACCTTCAAAGAAATTGAAGACATGAGAGCAGTTCCTGTAACGGCCTGTGGTGCTATGCCCGTGGGGACTCAGCAGGACTTGATTGATCACAGAGACTTGTGCCTTCAATCAGGTTGTGCACCTGGAGAAGCCTTGTAATAGAAAGAAATGAGCATAGGTGTGAGTCAGACAGACCTGGGTTTGCTCTTCTTCTTTAAAATTAAGATATTATTATTATTATTACTATTTTTCCCCATGGCTGGCCATTGTGGGGATCTGAATTCTTGACTTAAAATTGAGATATTAAGTTAAGGCTTCAGATCCCCTTATTGGCCAACTTCCAAAAAAAGTAAATAAATAAAATTGATATATTAATAGTTTCTACCTCATAGGGTTCTAGCCAATCAACTGTGAGATATTGTACGTAAAGTACTGGACACAGAATACTCAAAAAGTATCAGCTCCCTCTTGCCTTTCTCTGTAGTAAGTTAGACTTCTATAACCTGCCTCGACCTTCCCCACTGATACTCCTTGCTTTAGTGGTTTCTTTTAGTCCAATGGCTTTATATACTAAACATATGATGATAACTCCCAAATTTATATCTCCAGGACTGACCCTTTCCAAATTCCAGATTTGCACATGCAACTACCTGTTCAACATCTTGATTTGGATGTCTTAAAAGCATAAAACAAGTTGAAAACAGAGCTCTTTGTTTCCTCTCACAGGGTATTCCTCAGTCTTTTCTATTTCCAAAAATGGTACCACTGCTCACCCATATACTTAAACCCTAAACCTAAGAGCTATTTTTATTCTCTTTCACACATTCAGTCAATCAGAAAGTTTTTTTGGCCCAATCTCCAAAAAATATATCCTGATTTTGTCTGTTTCTCCTTCCATTGCTAACACTCTTGTCCATGTCACCATCATCTCCTGCCTGCAATTGTGCAGTCTCTCTGGTTTACATTCCTGGTGTGTTAGTCTGTTTGTGCTGCTATAACAGATTGGGTAACTTATAAAGGACAGAAGTTTATCTCTCACAGTTCTGGAGGCTGGAAAGTCCAAGATCAAGGCTCCAGCAGGTTCAATATCTGGTGAGGGCCCTGTTCCTCCCTGCTTGCAAGATGGCACCTTGTTGCTGTGCACTCTGGATGGGATGAAACCTTTGTCATCACATGGCAGAAGGGCAAAGAGCACCAATACTGATCCCCTCCAGCCCTTTTATAAGGCACTAATCCATTCATGAGGGTAGAGCCTCATGACTTAATCGCTTCCCAAAAGGCCCCATCTCTTAATACCAACACAATGAGTGTTAAAGTTTCAACATGAATTTTGGAGGGGACACATTCAAACCATAGTACCTGGCCCGCT